GTCCTTTGCTCCTAGTAGTAAGGCCCGGAGCTACTAGTAGCGTCCTTGCTCCTAGTAGGAAGGCCAGGAGCTACTAGTAGCGTCCTTTGCTCCTAGTAGTAAGGCCCGGAGCTACTAGTAGCGTCCTTGCTCCTAGTAGGAAGGCCCGGAGCTACTAGTAGCGTCCTTTGCTCCTAGTAGGAAGGCCCGGAGCTACTAGTAGCCTTGTTGCCAAATGCATGAAAATCATGTGTTGCACTTGTTGGCTTGAAAGTGAACTTACGTCTTCTCCGGACTTCATGTGCAGTTGCAACACCAAGCTACTAGGAACAAGTGCATCGCTACTAGTAACAGGTGCATCGCTAGTAGTGACAAGAAGCTAGTAGAATTAAAATTAGTAGCGTCTTTGCTTCTAATAGCTTTTTGTTTCTAATAGCTTCTTGTTCCTAGTAGCGTGGCACTTGTTCCTACTAGCGATGCACCTGTTACTAGTAGCTTTACTTTCTCTAAAAATCCAGGAACCACATGAATAGTGCCAGCGCTTCCTGCGTCCAATTCCTAGAAGCGAACAAGTCTCTCCCTAATTCAGCAGGCGCCTACATAGGAGCTTACTCCCTTACTTAATTAAGTAGGCACCTACTGCCTACTTAATTAAGTAAGGAGGCAGGGCCATGGGCTAACAAAACGAAAACAACACATGTGCTTTCTGTGTGAGCTCTCCAGTTTCCATGCGGCTTGGCCAGGCCTTCCTCATTTGGACGCAGTGCCTGAGTTTTTCTGCCCACCTCTCCTCTGACAAATCAGAGGCCTGCTTGCTTCTGAGAAGATACAGCATGAGAAGTCCAAAGAGACTAGGCTCTAGACAAAGCCAAGCTGAGAAGGCCATTGGATGGCTTGTGACGCCAAGCTGAGCAGATGGAGGGGAGTGCGGATGTTGACCTTGGACAGTCTCGAACATCAAGCTGTACTTTACTTGGTCCTAAAATTCTTTGCCAAGCCATGCAAAAGGTTCGAATTCAAAGTCTGGATTTGTCCTTGTCGAACGCCTCCTTTTCCTGTGCAGCTTCGCAACCGTTTGCCAAAGCTGCGAAGGGCCGGGCCGGGCCAAACCAGCTCGTGGACCAAGGGAAGACTGGAAAACTGTCTAACGTATAGGACAGCTGCAAGACAACTTGATATCTATGCTAGAGAAACAGTATCTACATTTATGCAAACCTCACCCCCAAAGCCTAGCTTTTGAGTGCCTGGCGAGTTCTGGAAGATACCTCCTGCAGCATTCAGAGTAAATCCCTGGCTTGACATCCCTCTAAAACCAATGCTTCTAAAGCTTGACATCAACAATCAGACAGCATTCGCTTTTTCTATATGTGTTCTCCTTTCGAGAGACTTTCAAGTAAGCCTTCTCCTCCCTGTGAAAGCCTGGTGCAAGAGCTCCCTTCTCCTTGCAGGGGTTTCTTCTAGTCTCAAGATGTTCGCTGAAAGCTCCTATGAATGACAGCACAATTTCTGGATGCTTTGTGCAGATTCTTGGTGTTGTTTCCAGATTAGAAGGCATATGTTGGCTTGAAGCACCTTGGGTTGACAGTCTTTATTCCTATACAAGTGCTTCAATGCTTCTCTAAACACATTGCCTTTGCCCTAATGATCATGTCATGCCTCATATCGTCTCATACTCATACTGCTGTAGGTCAAGATTGTGACAGAAAAGCTCGCCAATCTTCGCGCGCATGAACGGTTTTCCAGTAATGCATGTTACACACACACACATATATATATATATATAGGAAATGCAGATGACCTGATGACCGCGGCCGAACTATGTGCGCGTGCTCAAGTGTTTGACTTCTGGGAGAAAGCACAGCAGCATAGCAGCATAGCAGCATAGCCGGCTCAAGTCTTCATATGCACTTTTGGAGGTCTCCCATAGGTCCAATGATTTTAGCACCGAACCCGTGCCTCTGGAGATTGGAGTGGCGAGAAGTGTATTTGGACTCTACACCCAGAGCCATTGTGGCTGATTTTCACTTTCAAATTCAACACACTGGAGGCATGAGACATTTTTGTTCACCTCAACTTTGATCAGAGGTGGGCAGCAGTAGCAAGCAAAAACCCTGACAGCGAATGCTCGCCAAAGGATACTTCGTGTGCAATTGATGCTCTGTGTACCCCTACTACAAGGCATATTAAGTCCTAAGCTTCTGGTCATGCTGTTTTCTAATTAGAGAAAATAACGGGCTGAGGGCATTTGCTCAAACGGGGAACTGTTTGGACCCTCAGTGCGGGCAAAGCTCCACGGAGAGTCAGACAGTGCCGAGAAAAAGAATTGCTGTGGGATTTCAACAGGCAAGAAAGCTTGTTATGTTTGTTTTCAAAACAGGACATGTGTTTCATGTTTCTTGCTCATTCAAAACATGTTTTCCTTAAGCTCACTGGCACTCACAGTCGGTCAACCGGTTGCTGGGTGCTATATGCCATGCAGCATATGATCAAAGCCAGGCGCAGCCCAAGATCTCCGATGACACTTGGACTTGTGAGTCCAGTTCCGCACCTTTTGGTCATCGCTATTAGGTTGGAGGCCATCGCTGGTAGGTTGGAGGCCATCGCTAGTAGGTTTGTGTATGTCACCCCTAGCACGTTGGAGGCCATCGCTCTTAAGTTGGA